TCGCTCTTCTTCTTCACCAACCTTATCAAGTCTCTTCTCGCCTTACACTGCACATGCTCGTTCTGCTGAACAATACAACCGAATCCACAACATTGTCAAGACGTCCTGCATCTACGGTAATGGCTCCCAACCCGTTGTGCCTTGTATGGCGCGAGCAGATCATAGGTAGGCATCTTCACATCTTCTCAAGGGGTGTCAGACATACGAGAACTAACTCGTCCTACAGACAATCTTCGTCTGATATCTGGCCGCAGTGCTGTCATTGATATTTATACCTCTCGCCAGCCTAACAAGTCATACACCATCTACGCTGTCAAGGTCCACCGGGGTAAACGCCAGGAGATTCTTTCAGCAACAGGTCGCGATCTGGAAGATGCCTTTGAGAACCTCCATACCAAATCCTCTCAGGAGGTGTACCAATTCATCGAAGCCAACGGCTTTGCCTTCCCCCGAGGCGTGAGATCAGAAGACTCTGAAAGCTCAGGCAGTGAAGCCTCAACCATGGACGCCTCTGATATGCTCTCTCTGTCTGCCGGCTCTGACAGCGACAACGACGACATCATTTCCAGGAGGGGTAAGAAGACAAAGTCCTCCCGGCGCAAGAGCAAGCGAAAATCCCGCAAGCACACCAAGGACGACTCTTCTTCCTCCTCTGAAGAAGACGTCGACTCGGAACCAGAACAAACCACGCGTACGCGCCGCCCGGCCCCTGGACAACGCCCGTCGTACATCCCCGCGCCCCCCATGGCCGCGATATCGCAACCTCCCCCTCCCCCTCCAGGCTGGACTGGCCACCGTCTACGCACCTTCCCCCGCGCACCAGACGGTGTACCACCGCCGCCCCCACGGGGGAGCTTCCCCCCTGGCATGCGACTCCCATCACCACCTCACGGTATGGTTCCCGCAGCGATGACCACCGCCGTGATTCCGGCAATCCCCACTGCCCCCTCGAAGCCTGTCCGCCTCATCGTCAACTGGAGAGGCCACGGCGAGAAGAAGATTGTCGAGAACTGCCAGCCGAGCCACCGGGCTCTGCAAAAGACGGCGCTCGCCCACGTGCGGTCTCAGTGGCAGACGTTTGACAACGTGCTCGCCCAGGAGATGACGCCGGGCAGGCTTTGGGGGCTGGGTGCCAAGGTTCGCAAGGTGGCGCTGGGCAAGGACATGTACTCCATCTCGGCGGCCGGCGGGGACGACCTGGGTATGTACTTCAAGGCGGAGGATATTCCCATGTTTGAGGTCGAGGTCGATCACGATGGCAGTATCATGCCGCCTCCGCCGCCGCCTCAGCATCACCACGGTCAGCGTTGAGTTCTCGAAGGACGGATTCGGTGTGATATGGAGGAACCTCTGCATTCATCTTGTGAATTGGCTTCGGATTGGTTGTAGGGCGTGATGTTCCATGTAAGCATACGTGCATTTCTCCCGGCAGGTTTCGATTTCGGTCACGACATCTGCATGGGTTTCGGGGGGTTCATCAAAATTGCATTTCGGATTTTGATTACAGGGTAGAAAGCAGGCTCGATCGGAGGAATTTGTCTCCCCTTTTTGTCTTCTTTTATTTTTTCAGCTTTTACTTGGGATTTTGCTTTTTGGAAAGGGAGGTTTAGGTCTAGGTATTGTGTTACGGCTTAGGAGAAGGAGCAAAATCATTCATGGGGTTTCTGTTGTTGGTGTGTTACACAAGCTTGATATCAAATGAGCGCCAAAAAAAGTCTCCGGTAACGCTCACCTCCGTCTCTTGATCCGCAGTTTTCGTGATTGATTTTGCGATGATGTTTCATCAAATGGTGACATGATGGTCAGCGTGAGCCATTTCCTCATATCTAATGCTCGTAGATCCAACAATTGTTACGTTGACCTGGAATATCCAACCCGCGCGCCACAATCCGTCGTCAGGGGGGTCGGAAAGCAATTCTCATCACACCATCTAAGGCGGCGCCAAAATGGTCCATGTCCCCGGGGCCCACGCGGGGATCCGGAGCCGGGATTCCAGTGCAGGGAGGGGTGGCATTTAGGAAAGGAAAGGGGTTAGGTTACGGTGTTGCGACCCGGGACTTGAGAAGGGGGGTTCCGATTTGAGTGGGGGCGAGGGATATGCATCATCGTCAGCCTCACGAGCAGGGGGTCATGGGTGGTGTATGGTGGGTGGTCATCCCACGGAGCTGAGCGGCAGACGCCTAATGAATGAGGCGGCCATTAATGAGAGATGGACTTTCGATAGTTCCCGGGACTCGGGTTGGGGAGGGAAGCAGGATTTCGGTTTCTGGGTTGAGGCCTGCCGAATTACGGGTGTGATTGGGTTGTTGGTGGAGTTGCTAAGGACTCATTGGCGATGTGGTTTGAGGTGCTGCCTCCTTCTTCGGTGAGATATCTTCTCCGAGGCAAGGCGATCGGGTCGGTTGAGGAATAGTATGGGAGAGGGTTCGGTGTGACTGAATGATGAGGTGCAGAGCTTTCCGCGAAGATGGAACCATAGGACGACGGATGTTTTGTCCCCTATCTGCTGACCAAATGAGAACGCGTGTGCGAAGCCTCTTGGATATCGTCACGAAACATGACGGGCGTGATCAGCCCAGATCAAGCGCTCTGCCACTACTCTTTCAATTGGCCACATCATCAATGATAGGCTACAAGAATATATCCGCTGGAAGGCTTGCCAGACCTCGTAACAGATGTGAGGAGCTGCTCTCACTGGTGAGAGCGGGGCTCTTCTCTAGCAGTCAGACTGTGAGTGTGGCCTAGAGTACATCACCCTTGGACCTAGATACGACCTAGTCGATGAGCGAACATGGGCGAAACGGAAGTCAATTTTGTTAGTGGAATCTTCCACCCGAGATGCGAAGCGACATAGCGTGTAGTCAGGAAAGTTGTTATGAGCTCATGCATGTAGAGCGTCGAGTACGACTTCTCACAAAGCGCGTCCTCCATAAAGTTCCGCGGCATGCGTGAGAAGCAAAGCTGTATAAGGTGGCTTCGTGATCGTTCCTCGAGCGTTTCCTAATTATCGAGGGAGTCTGTCTTCGAGTTCGTCCAGACCATCGGTGAAGCAGGCCATGCTGCATGGCTCGTCGATGTGAACCCTGCAAGGAGCCTGAGAAAGCTCTCCATCTTATATTGCATACGTCTGAGTCTATCAAGGGACGTACCAAGCTCGTAAGTCGGTTCAGTAAGCAATGCTGTCAAGTCTCGTGGCATGTCCATCTGGCTAGGCAAGTATTCATGGAGCTCTGCCAAGCTCCACGAGCAAAATAGGGCGACACTGCCCATTCCATCGTTCTTGAATGATGCTCTTTATCACCGTCTCTGATTCATGCACGAACAGCCCCGCAACTTGATTCTTCCATCGGATTACTCGAGAGGCCGCTACTGGTAGCTATGGAGGGGATATCTGGCGATTATGTTATCGGCTGTCACGGGTGTCTCCTTGCCCTTGACGGTCGTCCTATTGAAGTTTTTTGAATTGCTGAACCAACGCACTTCAATGGAATAAACTACTGCTTATGGGGCCAAACTCTGACGGGTCTATGAAAGGGCTTTTGTGAATAGTCTCTCGATGATCAGGGAAACGGTGGAGATTGTTCAGATTTCTGAACAGAATTGCCCTCGCCTTTCAGAATGATGCTCCATTTAGCGAAGCTTGCTGAGAACTGTGAACATTAGCTAAGATACTTTCCTATGATTCTTCAGTCGTTATCCGTCAGTTGAATAGGATGTTGCTGAAAAGAGATGGTCACCCGCGTCGTTCAGCAAAGACGGTTACTGTTCCACAACGATGAACCCCTTTGACACGAAGCAGAGGTTTACCGCATTTACCATATTCAATACCGCGCGGTAGATGCCCGTACTTTGTATTCATGGTACCGTTTGAGATGACGAGTCTTCAAATTGAGATACGGGGAAAGTCGTAAGTATATAAAAGCGATGGCAAAGCTGCCTGTCCAGCCAGTATTGACACCCAAGGCAGCTTCCATCCTCAAACTATCTGATTGCACCCAATATCCACTCGACCCACCACGGCTTTAATAAAACATCGTTCCGCTCAAAATGTCTGGCAAAGGCGAAGATTTCATAGTCGAAGCAGAAGATGCGTGGCCTGGAAACGGACCTGATGAACGTTTGCTCGGCACCTATCGGTACGATGGAGACCCCAAACATCCCTACTATGTCATCATCTCGGTGCACCCCAACTTCTCCAGTAATTCGGGCTTACGTTTTGAATACGACGAGCCAAAATTGATTCGGAAAGCCAACATGCTTCCATGTAAAGGCGCCCCCTTCGTTTACCGCCGAACCGATCTTGGTAAACGGAAGCAAAAGTGGGACGCAATCGGTTGGCCAGACGAGGTTTGCCAAGACAAATATCGCCCAGGCATGAGAATTGTCCGTTTCGAAATCAAGGTCTTAGATGACCCAAAGCACCCGACGAACAAGGACAAACAATACGTGAAAACAACAATAAATTGGATGCCCCCCAATTGCGCAAAAGGTTGGGAAAATTCGCACGTGCTAAAGAAGGATGCGGATCCATGTAAAGTTGTTGATGAGGCACTGAAGCAAGGCAGTGCAGATACGAAAAGCTAGAACACCGTTGCGAAGGACCATGGCTTCTCTGGGCTCACTCGGTTCGTTTGGGCGTACCCTGAGTATTTGTACCATCTCAGCAGTACCTAAGGTACTCTGCTATCGCATTCTTTTCACTTTCAAATCGAATCACATTGTCGGAAGGGGAGAACGAAGCCTTTACCTCGTGGGTTCGCTACCACCGTGTGTTGTTTGTCGTATGCTAGTACTTTGCTGTCTAACTTTGTCGATTTTGGCATTTCCTGTTCCACCGTAAAGAGTCTCTGAAGTTGCTGTGATGAGATATTAGCAATTATGATGATCCACAACCCAAGTCCGAGCAGCGGCTGGACCCCCCTTAGCAGTGGTAAAGAGTGAATATGTGTTGTCCATATAGTCAGGTTTCATTACCCCCCTCATCCACCGCTATTTACCAATCAATCCCAATCATCGGAGAGACTATAGCCTCCAGCTTGAATAACATGCCCGGCAGCCTGCGCAAAGACGATCCACTTCGCTACCCCGCCGTCCGGCGTGACATTCACCCACTTATGCTTCGTCCCCCTCTGCGTGACCGAATCGCCGGCCCTCACGACCCGCATCTCCCCGGAGTCGAGGTGCAGCTCCACCACGCCTTCTAGCATATACACCACGTCAAACGTCATGGTCCTGTGCATCGGCCACTCCTCGCCAGGGTTGAGGACCGTGACGAGCGCCGAGGTGCCCTTGTCTGGTGCGATGACGCGCGAGCTCAGGAACAGGAACTGCGTGCGATCGATCTTGTACTGTTCAATGTCTGCCTCGCTGGAGAGGTCGAGTGGTGTGTTGTGGGTGGAGGCGAGGACTTGAATTGAGCCCGAGGGGACTTGGTGCGATTCTCGTGTCCCTGAGGCGTAGGAGAAGACGGCTTTTCCGGCTGCGTCGTGGGTTGTGATGTGGTGGGACATGGTATACGTGAGTGAGGTGGTTGATGCACGAGACGGGACTTCTTCTTACCTGGAGTTTAAAGAGCTCGGAACGGCGCTTATCCATATACAAATATGGCAGCACAACATGGGATATACGGCATTGGCGTTGTTTCCCAATCAGTGAAAGTTGGCAAAGTTGTCCCCGGAACCCAAAATTTGTCAGCTCAGACCAGTCGGGCTTTGTGGTCCCTTCGAGCAGACGGTCCTCAATGTCTGTATTTGGCAATTTTAACACGAGGCGGTATTTGGAAACACGTCACGCTAGAATCTCCAGCGACGATCGTCCAGCACCATGGCCCGCGGGGCTGAAGCTGCGACTCCTGGAGAAAACTTTTATCTCAGAACGTAAGAGAGTGACATTTACTGCTGGCTTACTGCTCGGAGTTCCATGGAGGTGATGATAGGATCAAGAGGCGTATCATGAGTCAGGTGGTCAAGGAATATGAATTCCTGAAGACCCGCATGCTTTCTTCATAACATTGGAAGGAGAATAAAACACTGCAAAGTTGTTCTACTTGAATGATCACAGCATGAGACCTACGAAAGCCCCCCTCGTGAACTCTCAAGTTCTTAATTGCAAGACCTCGGGACATGGGCTAGACACTGGTTGTCGTTCCCTGCGCGCATACCTTATGAGGACGGTGGTCGAAGACGCCTGCGCCGATGGATTTACGAGAAATTTTGACTGAAGGCTGGAAATGAATTGAATAGCATCAAAGTGTTTCTAGCATACAAGACCGTCATCAACGAATCTAACAAGCCAGATAGCCCCCGTCAACGTTCCAGTGTGCTACATTGCCTGTAAGTTTACGCCAATCAAGTCATTATCAGTCTTTATCTTACCTCCTGTCACGTATGAGGCATCTTCACTCAAGAGAAAGCAGATGACCTTTGCGATCTCATCAGGTTGGCCCATCCGGCGAAGCAAAGTATTCTTGGAAAGCGTGTCCGAGTCAAAGAGTCCCAATGCCTCGCCGTCTCGAAAGATCTTGGTATCGACCGGCCCGCTGATTCCAGCCTTAGGTTAAGACTCACAAAGCTCTCGTAGCACTTGAGGAGTTCACTCACGGCAGTATCGTGTTGATCCGGATGCCATCCCTGGCGTATTCCCCAGCGGCTGATTCTGTCAACCCAATGACGCCGAACTTGCTTGTTGCGTACGCGGCGCTGTGCGGTAGACCCCTCCGGCCGGAGGTGCTTGACACATTGACGATTGCTCCTCCTGGTTTTGCCAACAGCGGTAGTTGAGCTCGCATGCAGTTGAGAACCCCGTTGAGATTGACGCCTATGGTCCTGTCCCAGTCTTCTTGTGCCTGCGAAGCTAGGACGTCAGCGAACACCGATCACGACAGATACGAGCTCTGGAGAGGAGGGGCCGATTCTCACGATTGTCTCAATGATTGTAGATCCCGTCCCGCCAGCGACTCCAGCAACGTTGGCAGCCCCATCGAGTCTGCCAAACTTGGCGAAAGACTCTTGGATCCAGGACTTCACCTCATGATCTTGGCGGACGTCGACTTTGGAAGCTAGGACTTTGGCCCCAGCTTTCTCGCCTTTTCTCAATTGTCAGTAGCTGGTTCATCTTCGCGGTTCAGCTGAAGTGGTATGGCACAGAGGACCTCACACTCTCTGACGGTCTCATCTAAACCCGCTGCATTCACGTCGCTGACCGCGAGAGCAGCAGCGCCTCTTTGCGCTAGTATTATTGCAGTAGATCGACCTATACCCTAGAAATTTGTATGAATCAGCTATCGCACTGGGAAATCATAACTGAAGCACCAATTGATAACACTGGGTTAGTTCGGGAAGCTTTACCGATGCGGCACCGGTGACGCAGAACACCTTACGCGCGAACATGACGAATCCGAGGTTTGCCTAATCGGCGCATGCACAGCGAAATACTCGAGATGAGACACAAACTCGTGCTCGTTTTGCCGTAATATTTTTGCGTATCGAAAGGCATCTTAAGGGTCGTTGGAGTAGCCGTTATCCAAGCAACACCCTGGTTGTGTTGGTCGATAATTGCGCCGTATTCAGCCTGCCGTCTCACTGCGGACTGATATTCGGCCTAACTTTCGAATGCCGGCCAAGACAGGACATGAACCACACATTGCTGAAGTTGAAAGTCCATTTGAATTGCATAAGTTCTGACTTTGAAGTGATTTAAAAGTTGCAACAACAGACACACACCTCTAACGCCACACCGTAGTGTCTTGCAAACTGATTCTTAGAACTACCGCGATTTCAATTACACGAAAACCACTTCTACCTCGCTCAACAGCAGCAATCCGAGACTCTAACAAAGACTTCTCGCTTTCTCAGATTCAAAGTTTTGCAAAGATGGCAAGACAATTGGATGGGAAAGTGGCGTTGGTCACAGGCTCCTCATCTGGCAGTGAGTCCCGCCTCTAGGTAGCAGGGTAGCAACAACACATGTTGACGATCGTGACTTCTGCAGTCGGAAGATCAATCGCCATCCAGCTTGCGTCTCTCGGAGTCAAAATCGTTTCCTTTGATCTTCATGACCTGCCAAACTCCAAAGGCTACGAAGAAGACATCGACAAGACGACAGCAGAGGTGATTTCCGCCGCGGGAGGCGAGGCCATCTTCTTCCCGGGTGACATCACAGACACCAAAGTCGTCGAGGATGTTTTCAAGAAGTCAAATGAGGTGAGCTATAAACTTCCCCAGATCTGCAGCCCTCATTCCCTCTAGGTCTCAACTAACTCAAGTTTGCAGAAGTTCGGCCGCCTCGACATACTCATCAACTGCGCAGGGTACTGGGCCCCATTCCACCTCTTCGCAGACGAATCCGACGAGCTATGGGAACGAATGTCGGCCGTAAACACCCTCGGCACCGCAAAAATGTGCCGTCTTGCCATCCGCCAGTTCCTCCAGCAAGACCTCGACCCTGCATGGGGCAGCCGCGGACGCATCGTCAACATCTCGTCCTGCGCGGGCGTCGTCGGGTTTCCGGGAGAGGTGGCCTACTCCGCGACAAAAGCTGCGGTCAACCACATGACGAGAGCTGGTGCTTTGGACCATGCCAAGGACTACATCAACATCAACTGCGTAGCGCCGGGCGTCGTGGCGACGGGGCTGGCGAGGGGGAATCTTGAGGATGCTGGGATACACAAGCTGATGAAGAAGGCGACGCCGTGGCCTCGATTAGGGACGGCGGGGGATATTGCTGATGTTGTTGTGTTTTTATGCAGGCCGGAGTCGAAGTGGATGACGGGTCAGGTTCTTGCTGTTGATGGCGGCATGACGATTGGCGTGGCACCCGGTAGTTGAGATCCCTCGTTGAACTATTGAAATAAACTCACGTCGTTTTAAGCTGATGTCGAGATAGCTGGTAAATATTAGCATGGGTGGGTTTCCACGATTCGGTGCTTATATTAGTGTGCGCTACCAAGGATAGACTGGGGAAGTGATGTAAAATGTGATTTTGAGAGCCATCATCTGCTTCGCAGGCTTGAATGGACCTCGAAATGAGCCTGGGTAAGTCATAGGTGAATTACCACGTAATTACTTCGCTCTTCGGGAGTCACGAAAGTCGTTAGAGACATGTTGCGACCGTAAGTTCGATGGATTTGGGATTTAACCATGTCTAAGTCTAACCCGGCCTTGTATCTGAATCTCCAAAGCACATCTTTAGATGACCACTTCACTCATACCGAACACGGTTGACAAGAGTGCCAATCTCAGAAATCTCAATCCTCATGTCATCTCCGTCATGGAGTGTGATGGGCGGGTCCCTCATCACGCCAATACCAGGACCAGTGCCCGTCATGATGATTGTGCCCTTCTCCAAAGTCGTACCCTGTGACAGAAACGAAATCATCTGTGGGATGGTAAAGATCATCTCCCTTTTCATCAAGTCAGCATTCACCTGTGACGCCCGCTCGTATCAGTGCAAGGAGTACTGAAAACTTACTTCGTGTTGGAGTCTTGGACGACCTGATCGTTGTAGATGGCTTGAATCTGTAGAGAATGGGGGTCTTTAATGGCGGATTTTGCAACCAGGACAGGCCCTATGGGACAAGATCCATCCAGACCTATGTGAAATGTCAGCATCCGAATCCTGAAGTGAGCGACTTGCCCTTCATGAATGTCCCATTCGCGAAATCTTCACAACCCACCTTTCGAAAAAGACCACTGGCTGTTCTTGAACTGCTGCTTCCGGGCGCTGACGTCGTTGCTACAAGTATACCCAAGCACGTATTCCATAGCCTCTTCCTCTGAGATATCACGGCCAGACTTTGAGAGAACCAGAGAAAGCTCGGCCTCGTAGTCGCTCGACCCGTCCTGAGAAATCTTGGGGATGTTGATCGTGGATGGGTGCGGGCCAGTCAAAGCTGTCCTCGGCTTGATGAAGAGGACGGGGACCTCGGGGATGGGCATATTGGCTTCCTTGGCGTGGTCGCGGTAGTTGAGTCCCATGCATCGGATGATTGGGACTTGGTCGGCGGTGACGGGTGATAGAAGCTAGAGGTCGTTAACAATCTTCTCAGTAAACCTGCAAACCAAGCAACCACAGATGGTAAGATATAGCGGAACTTACGTGTTCAATGTGCAAGACATCTTCTGTGACACGCCCATCAAATACGTCTCCAACTACGATGTTGGCTTTGACCTTCTGGCCTTCCAGTGTCGCTAGTCCCACATCAGGATACTGGCTGGCGTCGATCTGGCCTAGGTGTATCTCATTGTCTTCTTCAGCGACGAAGCGCACCAAGTGTGTCCACGAAGGGCTCATCTTGTATCGTGGTGTTATGGTAGGTCGTGATTGTGAGGCTCTGGCTTGAAGCTGTGAATGGCTACGAAGACTGGTACTCGAATGAAGAAGGTTTATGGTGAGATGAATTGATCCTCGGAATTCAAAATGCGCAAAGCACACAGCCTATTTCCCATGTCACAACCTATTTCTCGTTGATTCGTATTAGACCGGTATGTGGGATTGAGACAGATTTGCATAGAATCAGTCCGTCCGTCGCACTGCAGCCCAAACTAGTTTAGCATTTGACCGGAAACACAGAGATTTATTCCTTTTCACTGGGTAATTCTACTGAGAAAGACTGAAGGGCGCACACAGTTGCATACTGTACTCGGTCGACCTGGAGTAGAAATACGTCAAGCCAGCCTAGCCCGGCGGCAGTCACGCCTTGTGAAAAGAACCTCAAGCAACCTTATCACGACTTCCAAGAAAATCGATTCCAGAATTCAACGCTGACTCCCTTGGAGACTTAAATCTATCCTCGATCTGACAAGGGGTATCACGCACTCATTACAATAAGGTAGACATGAAGAAGCTCAGCTCCGGGTCACCCTCCGGAAATCCGGCAAACTCATCCGAAGCATTGAGACCGGGAATCCCTAATCGATCTGTAGTACCCTCCGCGCCATCTTGCTGCCCGTCAACAAACCAATTGGCATGGGCGGTTGAAGCGTTACGCGGCGACATTGGTGTGGGCACGTCTTGGCCTTGGTGTCCCGGCCCTACGGATGTGAACAAAGAGTTCTGGTCCAGCTCAGGCCCCATCATGAGACCAAAGTTCTGCAATGAACTCGTTCCGTTGAAGGCGGAGGTATGATGTCCAGCGTGTTGATATGATGCGCAGCCTAGCATGTGAGTCGCTTCGATCGCCGCAATCTCTGCCTTTTTCTGTGCTAGCCGTTCCTCCAACGAATCAAGATTTTGTAAGAGACTTTCAGGCGTTCCCCAAAAGTCGGTATATTTCTGACATACTGCACGGAGCTCCTTGATCTTCATCTCCGATGCCTCGTTACACGTCGACGGTGCAAACACTTTGCGAAGGACCTGTAATGAGGCGGCGAGCCATACGGTGCTCGCCAAGAATGGGTTCGTCCATTGTATGTGTGTTTCTGAAGAGCGGCTGACGATGGAATGGATGTCGTCTGATGCCTCGAGACAGTTCCGGAGGCCTTCTGAGTTGGACAGCCTCTCCTTTTCATCCTTGGATGACGATGTCCACCCAAATGAAGGAGGACTGTCTGTTTCTGAGAAAATTGTGCCTAGTAAGATCTCGTTAAATGCGAAATGGTGGTAGATCATGAATCGTGCTAGCTGGATCATGAGGTAGATTGCGTGCTGTGAAGCATTCGAATGTCTCTCGGATGGCGGCTGAGGGCAATCGCTGCTCGACGAAATACCCGTGGACTTGAAGTCTAATTGAGCCCCTTGGTATGTGAGTGATCTTGGTAGTAGCGCGACAGTCTGCTTGAGAGCTCCGATGAGAACGGGTAGCTGTTGCCCATCTTCTGCCGACTGCCTTTTGCGGAATGATCCGTGGAGATACTGCTTGAGAGGCCGAGAATCGGCTCCCGGTGCGGGACTGAGGTCCGAAAGCACACTGTGAAGGTTGCCGCGAGCCAGAACCTGAGCGTTACGCATGATAGAATTGAGAACGATGAACCACGCGACATCGCTGGTGTTCCCAGACTTGCTAAGCTTCTTCGCCCGCTCCAATGGAGCAGGATCAAGCGGACAGCTCGGTTGGTACGTGTTTTGAAACCACATCACGTCTGGCACCGGGAGGTGATTCTCGTTCATGCCTACGCTCTGGTCAATCGCGGTGGGCAACCTGTGCACCGTCGAGGCGAATATGTCCATCTGCCAGATGGCCCACCAGCTGCGGCGCCTCTCCTCCATCGCCGACCATTGAGCGACGCCAGACGTTCCTGGCTGAGGTCTGGCTTGCGTGATGCTGTCAACAAGATGAAGTCGTTGCTCGTAGGCGATTCTGACGCAGTTGCCCAGCATTCGCCATGCGCGACCGCGGACGCCTCTTGTGAGCTCATAGAAGGTGCATAATATGAGAGCCTGGAGGATGCAAAGTGGCGGGGGCTTGTCGTCGTGTTCTTCGATTGCCTCGTTGACGAAACCCATTGCCGATTTGTGTAGTTGCTCATGGCTTGGGCCGCTGTAGGCTTCCATTGTTGGCGGAGACTCTGCATCGGGAGCTGTGGCGAAACGAGCTGAGAAGGAGAACATTGATGCCAATAGCGCCTTGAGGTGAAATGCATTCTTGATTCCCTGGACCTTGTCTCCGAATGAAGGTTGATGGAAGAGTGAGAATGCAGTCATGTTGTCGAAATATGCGTCGGTCCTGAAGGAGATGTTAGTGACCAGGCGAAGCCGTCTATATTAATTAGTGAAAGCTTGATCCTCTCACAATGTTTGCAGCGATGCGATTGACAAGGTCAGCGACTCGCATACCTGCTGCAATGTGTTTTGAGCGCCGGCAAGTTGCAAGAAGAAGCCGCGACGGTTCGGCGAGGGGACACTCGAAGGGGGCGTCAAGTTTACGTCGTGAGATGGATGGACAAGGGCGGACAAGCTGATGGCGCGAACGAAGCGCGTATCTGAAATGTACGAAGAGTCCGAGTGAAGACTGGCCAAGTCATCGTGGTCTGTAAGCCCCGTAGAAAGGAAGTCAAGGAGTTGTGGTTCAACAGCGGGCAGTGATCTCGAGCAGACTTCCGGTCTCACGGAGAGGGCGTCGTCCTCCGCCTCGACATGCTGTTCTTCGTCAACATGAGCGAGACTGCTGCTTAATCGCCGCCGCTTACGATGTCGTGAGCCTTGGTAGTTCGCTGTCAGCCGGCTCAGACATGGAGCTCAATTTACAGTGCTAGTGCGGTACCTGTCTTTGGGCCTGGTTTTAGTCGCGTTGATGGATAATCGCACGCCTGGGAATTCCTCTCGCAGAGTGTACAGCTTGGTAAAAGACGATCACTGGTATTGTTAGACCACACGGATACATGCAGGTGAGCGCTGGAAGAGAGTAAAAGCTAAAGTATGAAATGACCTACCATTTTGCTTTCCTCCTAAATTCCCAATCAGGGAAGTGTCAGTCAATTGTGGTGCTGTAAACATGGGCGAAGAGACAGACGATCTCTCTCACCTCTTGCATGATTTGCAAGCAAGATCTGATATCTCGCCCTCCTGAGTGACGCCCTCCTGAGTACGGCTCGGAGATGGCACTCCCGTATCTCTATCACCATCAGATACCATGGTCAAGTAGGTCACTGAAGGCCAAGCAACTGTGTAGGAAGTCAAGATCGTGTGCATTCAACCAGTCTGGAAGGGGTCCGCAGGGGACGCGATCTTGTTTGGTGCTTTTGCGGCACCTATGGTGGGTCAGCCAGTTTCACAAAGCCCCCCAATAAGTGCTGCAAAATGACGTGGAAAGCTCCGCTGCCACTCATACCGGCTGGGGCCGCGGCTGGACCGGGTTGCGGGGAACAAGACCCCATAGTTGTCCGGATCC